ATTCGTAAAAAATAAACTATAACTTCAGATGCTACTTCTTCTCTGTGAGAAATGCAGCTGAATTTAAATTTAAAATTATTTTGAGTGATTTCATTTATTACATTTTCAAATACATTGAAGTCATTACAATATTTTGCAAAAGTGTGTTCTACAATGCTTAAAAATTCAAATAAAGCAGCGTTTTTGTACATAAGCTTTCCATTTGTTTTTAAGTTCACTAGTTCATTATCACCAGATTTAAAAAAGCATATGTATTCATCACACTTTTGTTTTTTTTAAATTTGTTTTGTCACATACCCTGTAACGAGACAAAACCGAACGCCCCGTTCACGTGGCGCACTCTCGTTACCAGTAGTCACTACTCACTGATTGCATACAGACTACCGCAACGCGCTCTCGCGCCGTAATTACGCGCGGAACACCCAAACCAGTCGGTCACGGCGCTCACTAGAACTCGCAAACACCACAACTTCTATTTCGCCGGCACGCCACCCGAGTAAAGAAAGCATTTTATGACAAAACCCCGCAACTTAAAACCCGTTGGAAAAAACCAGCAGTCCATCAACAATGCAATTCCCTTTTTTCATGGGTTTTAATTGCACAAAAAACATTTAAATTACCGAAAACCGTTTATACGTTTCAATCAGCAAGAAGAGGGCCCGAGTATTATATATACCACCCAGAAAATACAGCCAAATCACCCAACTCCCCCCTGAGTATAGCACATCAGTGAGCCGGACGAGTCTAACCAACTCGTTATACACGAACACTGTTTGCTATACGCCCACCAGCACTTGCCCCCAGACTGCACAAGCCGGACGAGCATACCACTCGTTATACACGGATGTGTACATAGTCTGAACCGGCATTCCCAGTATCGCCCCCGTGAGCCGTCAGAGTAAGTGTCGTCACACTATACCGCGGACATCCTGCAGAGATACCTACCACAGCACGCCGCCACCAGAGCCGAGCCAGTTGCTGTCATTGAGTCACGTTCCAGAGACGAGCAGTCATCCATAGTCCGGACGTTACCCATAACCGTTGTTAGTCGCCAAGCCGCCATCCGAGCCAATTGCCAATATCCGTCCTACAGAAGCTGTAAGCCGTATTCGCCAGTAGAATTAATTGTAAGGGATCACTGAGCTGCTATTGCTAATTTTGTATCAACAAGCCACCGTCCGAGCTGAGCTTGTCATACCAGACTATTTCCACCAAACCGTGAGTGTAAATATTCATATTCCCACCCCTTTATGTAATCCCGATAACTATTTTTATTGTAAACTCTGAGGAGTATAATTAAAATTTGTCTAAAAGAAAATAATGTCATACAAAACATATTTCTTGTACCTCATTGAGATAATGAGCACATTGGTTCACAATATATTATATCAATAAAAACAAATTATTACCAACCAATCACGTAATAAAGAATACAATCTCTAGTACTATTTTCCATTGTGGAATCAACTTTAGGGAGCACATCACAAGGTTCCCATTGGCCCTCTTCAATCAGTTCATACAGTTTTGTTTTAAGTGTGTTAATTTTTTCAAACCTTTCAGATGATGTATCATGGAAAATTTCTTTTAGATCTGATAATGAAATTTTAGGAGCATCAATGTTAGTAATAGTACAATTACCATGTTTTGGGGGTTTAAGAACGGAGTATACTGATAGAATTTTATACAAATGGATAAAAGTTGGGGTTGTAGGATGATCATTTGGTCCACATGACTGTCTTATGAGTTATGATACCAACAAATTTCTGAAACAAAATTATAGGATAAAATATGAAATCATTATAGATGGAGATTGTATAGGTATTATCATCGATTATAATAAATTATAATATTATTACTTCAAGTGGGTCTTGACACATTTTACCAGTAAAGACATATTCCAAAAAATTTTTTGAAAGATCAATCGTTAAACTTATTGTAACTCAAAGCCCTTCAAATGTTGATTTTGTTAAAAATTCTTTAGGACAAATATTACCAGCAACCATCTCATCTTCCTAGCAATCAATGTAATGCAATGCTTTTAAAAACCCCTATGTTAACAAATATATTAATATAATAAGTTAAATATTTAAAACAATTATAATACAATTATAGTTAATTTAATTGTTATTTCTTTACTTGAAATCCTTCTTCATTGTCCAGTTTAAGACCTTGCCATTGCAAATTGCTATTAAAATTGTCAATTAAATCATTAAAAAATTCAACAAAATCAGCAGTTTCATTAGAATCTTTGAGCATTAGATTCCTTTTTGATTCATAAAATCTTATTACGTTTGCCATACTCCTACTAAACACCTAGTAAATAAATATAAAAAGTATACGTCATTTTAATATATGGTTATCATTTATTAATACATACATTGATCTGTATTATTTACCTGAGTGCAAAGGCGAACACGCATTTTTTGCCATTGGAGTTAAAAAAAGGTGTTGCGGTGTTATTCTCGGTATAAGTCTAAAATTTCCGGGGTGTTTAATGTCTTCTTTATAGACTTCTTTAAAATAATCCCACACAATTTGTTTTGAATCTGATTTGAGCTATAAAAAAGATAAATGGTGAGTTTTATTTGTATACCAATTACCATAATTAATATTTAATTTTTAAATTAAATATTAATTTAAAAAAATGATATTTACTCTTAAGTGTTTGCTATTGTATAAACGATTCCTGATGAATTTAAACAAGTGTACAAAATCAGATAATACATAAACATTACGATCTGGATAAATTGGATATAAGACCAGCGATCGCTGTGGTAAGCCTGTCAGTGGGTTAGTAGGTTAGGTTTGTTATTGATGTAAAATAAAATAACTAATTTGTTTTGTGTTAATAAACGATGGTGGCCGGAGGTGAAGTTATGCTAACGCGGTTCTGCCTCCGGTCCTCGATTCAAACCGGAAAAAAAAAATCCTAAAAATTACAAATTATTCACGTTCTTATTCCTTTAAAAAATAATGGAATTAATTAATTCATTCGTTTCTCTAAAAAGGAATCGTTCCTTAACAACACTGTTGACAATAAAGTTAATTCATGAAAACCTTATAGCTGTTTCTCCAGCTGAAGATGCAACCGCAAAAAGTCTCTGTGGTTTGTTTACCGAAATGTGTGATTCATACAACAATGATTGGGGTAGGTACATTGCTTATTGGTCAATAATGGTCATATGATGGTGCAAATGTTATAAAAGGACAAGCAAATGGTTTACTTACATTAATACAGAAAGAAGTACCAAGAGCAATATATATTTGGTGCAATACACATCGACTAAACCTAGTTATTGTTGATACATGTAGTTCTTGCAATGATGCAATACATTTTTTTGGTGTGTTAGAACTTTTGTATTCATATTTTGGTGCTAGAAAATGAAATGCTTTATTCAAAATCAAACAAGTAGAACTGATACCAGAACAATGGTCCCTCAGATTCAAAATGTTGTCAAATACTCGTTGGTCAGAATATTTTTTGTTTTAAATCTTTCCCTAGCTCGATTTTCTAGAACTTTATCGGTTTTACCCCTATATTGTTTAAATTTGAACTCGATGCATACGCAATAATATCGTGATCTCTACAAGCAGTATCCAATGGGTTTATATTCCTTTGTCACCGCGATCTAGTCTCTTTTTTAATTTTCTACCAGGACCACAATACTGATAACCTGAAACATGTGCTTCAAACGGAAGACTATTTATAAGGGAGTTTAGAAATCCTTTACCAGTCTTGTACGATTTGTACATACGAGTTGAACGCGCCACACAGTGGGCTAGAATTCAATTCTAAGCGGCCAAAAATCTAATCCTTTGAGAGCTAGCAAAGTAGTTGAAGACGCCTTTGGTCAATTGACAGCCAAATTTCGTACTTATTGCAGACGATTAAAATCATTAACAAAAAATGCAGATAAAATAGTAATGACCACATGCATTTTACATAATTATATTAAACAAGACAGCAGTGAAATTCATACCAGAGAAGTAGCCGATACAACGTCATTGGGTAATTTATCGTCATTTCCAAGACAAGGAGATGGAACATTTTCCGGATTCCAACACAAAGGCAAGTGTTTCAATATCGTGATCAGTTTCAGGATTTTTTTAACTCTCCAGCAGGAAAATTACCATGGGAGTAGATACAAAAAATTAATTTAAAATGTAAATGTTTTTATGTATTTCGTATTTATTACATTTTCAGTTAGTACCACGGTTATCTACACAGGTTGGAGCACGCGGCCTTATCACTTGTCGAAGTGGCGACTATAGGAACTATTAGCGCTAGCTGTACTTGGCCCGGTATGGCGGTATATTATTATAAATTATAATACTTACTATTAATATTACCTATAATATATTATAATGTATAAGTAAAATAAATTATATATATATTTTTTACTTTTCATACATACAATTTCTAATTATATAATTTAACACGTTTGTTTTTTAACTTTTCCTCCACAAAACTGTACATAAGTAATATTGTTTGTTCATTGGAATGTAATTAGGGAAAGGTTTCATTATAATTACTTTTGAGTTTTGAATATTAGGTAATTAAAAATAATTTTTACCATTTTAACTCAAAAGCATTCATATATACATACATTTAGTAATTAAAATTATTATCAACATATTGTGTTAGATGACAATCACATAAATATTTTAAAATCTCAGTTGAAACCACAAAACCATAAGTACCTATTACTAATAACGTCTCAGCAATTGTGTAATTGAAAGTCACAGTACCTAGTTGAGTCAAGCTATGAAAGTGAAGATTCATGTAGCCTGGAAAATAAAATAAGTTTGTTAAATAAATTCATAGTTATTGTTATTTTATTAAATAAGCATACAATTAATAAGCATAGAAATAAGCATACAAATAAGCATAGTTAGCATTCACTTTGCACTTTAATTGTAAATAATGATATTTATAAAGATTATGAATTGTAATAATAACATTTAGAAAACTATGAATGGAAATTATAACATTTAGAAAACTATGAATTGTATAATTTAGCAATTTTTTTCTTTTCTCTTGCAACTTTTTGGAATTTGAGATTTTCTTGGTATGTATGCTGGCGCATTCTCATTTGTAAGTAATACACTATAACTTCAGAAGCAATTTCAACTTTATGAAAAGAACAGCTAAATTTAAAATTCAAATTATTTTGAGTTATATCATTGATTACATTTTCAAATACATAAAAATCATTACAGTGTTTTGCAAAAGAGTGTTCAACAATGTTTAAAAATTCAAATAAAGCTGTATTTGGATACATCAGCTTCCCATTTGTTTTTAAATTTACTAGTTCTGCACAGGGATGATCAGCGTTGCCTTCTTTAAAATAACTTATGCACTCATTACACTTTTGCTTTTTTAAAATTTGTTTAGTCACATACCCACAAATATAGTAGATTAAACAATCTCTGGTACTATTTTCCATGCTGTTGTCAACTTGAGGAAGCACATCACAGGGTTCCCATAGGCCATCTTCAATTAATTGATCTAATTTTAATTTGAGTTGGTTAATTTTTTCAGTTCGCTGAAAAGATTTATTATGAAAAATTTCTTTTAAGTCAGATATAGAAATTTTAGGAGCATCCATAGTTGTAATTGTACAGTTGCCATGTTTAGGAGGCTTAAGCACAGAATAAACCGAAAGAATTTTATAAAGATGGAGAAAAGTTGGAGTTGTTGGGTGATCGTTTGGCCCACATGATTGTCTTATAATGCCAAAGAATTTCTGTAACAAAATAAGTTATACTATACAGTGTTATAAATATGTCATTTTTAACTTAATATATTATATCATTTTTTTTATAAATAATAATTACTTCAAGTGGGTCTTGGCACATTTTACCAGTAAGAACATAATCATAACCACATGTTTCTAATAAGTATTTTGACAGGTCAATTGTAGAAGTAATCGTCACTCGAAGTCCTTGAGCCGTTTGTTTGGTTAAAAACTCTTCTGGACCAATACTGCCATCAATCATTTGATCTTCCCAACAGTTGATATAGTGCAACGCATCAACAAATCCCTAAAATGATCAACATACATCATTTTGATACATTTAAGTTGTTATTTTGGGAGACACTCATAATACCACGGTCATATAACCGTGCATAAAACCAATTATTTGTACTTCACTATTTTTTTTTTTTAATTTCCACTATAAACTAATGTTAGAATTCAATCAATTATATACTTCAAATTTATAAAAAAAATTGTACAAAAGTTGATTTAGTAACTAAAATTTAAAAATTATATTTTAATGCTTTTAAATTAATTAATAATTGCATTACTTGAAACCCTTTATCGTTAGTAGATTTAAGACCTTGCCACGGTAAATTCCGATTAAAGTTGTCAAACAAATTGTTCCAAAATTCAACAAAATTGGCAGTTTCTCCAGCATTTTTGAGCATAAGACTTCCTTTTGACTCATAGAAACGTATTGCGTTTGCCATACTCATACTAAAAACCTTAAAATAATAATGATTCAAGTTTAAAAATAAAACATTATTTGACAATATTATAACTGTTTATAATTTAAAATACAATATTTTGATAAATTTCATTTTTTAGTACCTGGGTACATAAGCGAACTCGCATTTTTGCCATTGGAGTCAAATCTAGGTGCTGTGGTGTTATCCTAGGTACCATTCTTAAATTTCCTGGGTGTTTTATATCTTCTTTGTAAACTTCTTTAAAGTAGTCCCAGGAAATTTGTTTTGAATTAGGATGAAGCTATTAGACAAAATTAAATAATAATGATTTATTTCAACTTAGAAGGAAAATAATAATTAAAATCAAGAACCCTATCAAATATTCATTCAAAATATCTTTTGAACCACTATAATCTCGGTCTCTAAAACATAATTAATATTTAAAGTAATAGATAAAAAACGAAAGTTACCCTTAAATATTTATTATTATGTAACCGATTCCTGACACATTTAAATAAGTGTACAAAATCAGATAACACGTAGACTTTGCGGCTTGGGTCAATTGGGTGTTTGAAATAATTCTTTAAATTATCTTTAGTCCCATCAACTCCAAACTCTGTCCACATACGACGGTTTGTAGTAGCACCATCACATATTATGGTATACCATCAACATATAATCCAATATTCTCCATAAGTGATATTGCTTTTAAAACAAGCTGTGCTATTATTACACCTAATAACAATAATAATAATAATTTAATTGATCTGAAATTCTATACTCTAAAATACAAAATATCATAAAACATAAATTACAAAATATATTTTATAAGTTAGATAAAACTATACCTTTAACTTCCCCTTTTGATGCAAAACAACCTATGGTTTGACTAAAATTTGATCCCAAAGATTGCCACATAAAGACTAGGGCATGGTCAGCATATTCTTTGTGACAATTTTTATTTTCTACTTCACCACCATAGTCTTCTAGGCCCCAATAGGTCAAATTTGACGAATTTACAGCTAAACTTTTCCGTAAATTTACTGCATCAAATAACAATACACCATGTTTACTTCTTTCAAGCATTCCCTCACTTTTTTTTTGTAAAAGATTTAAAAAATCTTTGTCAAACCCACAAGTTGACTTTACTAATGACAAATGCTTACGCACAGTTTTTGGATGAGGCAGTGGAAGTAGAGCACTTGCTCTTAAGTACTTGTATGCTGAAGGAGATCGTATGTTAAATAAAAGACATAACATGAGCCAATTTTCACTATACCGTCTTGATTTTGAGTTTTTAACTCTACTAGCAGCAAAACACTCCATGATCATAGTTTTCTGTGATTCATTAATTCCATTTAATTTGTCTTTAATAAATTGTTCATTATATTCAGCCATATCTTTATGTGATTTACTAAGCTCATCTTGCAAATCACATATTTTTTTTTTAGTAATTGTTACCTTTCTTTGCAATGCATATGCTTTTTTTCTCATTTCAATGATTCTAGGCTTTTTGGATGGAGAAACTTCTAACATTTCTTTAGAACCAATAGCTTTCCTTTTTTCTCTACATGCCAACACATTTTTCAATAATTTACATTTACTACAATAAGTGTCTTTTGAACAATTTTGAATGGTGAGGAGACATTGTCTGTGCTGGAGAAAGCCTTTAGTTGATTTAGTGCACAAGTCTTTAGGAAAGTTTGGAAAAATATTTGCTATAGGACTACCATAACATAATCTTATTGATTCAAACTTTTTAATATTATTTGAAAAATCTTCAATGTTTTTTGCAACTTCAATACCGTGTTCTGTTATATCAATAAGTTTACCATTGACAGCATAAGACACTTGACCTTGCTTATTGACTTGTATACTTCTTTCAACAGTGGGTACTGAATTAGAGTTTGCAATAAAAATAACAAAACATATATCTGTATTTTCTACTGTCATAGGTAATTTCACCCATGGACTACATTGGAAGTTGGCTAACTTATTATACAAATTATCTAAAACATAAATATAAAATCAATTAAATTAACTATAGAGTATTATTTATTAATTCAATGATCCATTTAATCTCATTTACATTTTGTTAATTTGAATGAATTTAAAAATTATGCAGGTATAGTGTACTATCTCAAATGTAAATTATTTTTGTATTTCAATTCTATTTTAATTTACCTATATCTGTTTGATGCATGTCAAATTATTACTGTTTTTTATATTACATATTATGTTTAAATTAAAGAATTCAACTCATTCACTTTCAAACATTATTGATTATATAATGAGATTGCAATAAACTCTCATTATTATTATTCATTAATTTTTTTAAATTTAGGTAGTTTGTAAGTAGATTTCATATACGAATATAGGTATACATAATATTATTGTTAAAATTTTACCTTCTATAAGATAAGATTCTTGTTTTATTGAACAATTATTAATGCAATCTTCAGAATTTTCATTACTAAATTTACTTTTTGGTGTAATTGCATGACGAACAGCAGGCAACTTCCGATGTTTTTTTAGATTAGATAAATATGAAGGACCCGGGAAAATTGAAGGTATGGTTCCCTCTTTAAGCTTCCACTTAGTATATAGTACCTACAAAATTAAATTAATTACAAAAAAACAAAAAATAAATATTATCATATAAATACCTTTACTGAACCAGATTCCCAATACTTTATGATATCTTCTTCCTTGAAATGTTTTTCACATACATATGAATTATCTTTAAGTATAAAATCTTTTCTAGGAATACACCTTTGCCATTCACTTCGTAACTTAGAATCTTTAGGAGCACCAAATTGGTGCACTTTTTCAATGTTACTTTTGTACCCAGATGTAAAACCAACGATTATACATTTAACCATTGTCAAATGAAATATTAAAAATTAAAATTAAATAACATTAATATTAAATACTAGATCAGGAAAAAAATACAATGTTGCATGTTCATGACGTACAGACAATGAGACAACAGCAGTTATCATCTACTTGGCCGTTCGCGGTTTTTTATTGTTCGATGTTTACAAGTTTACAACTCAAGAGTTGAATTACTTGGATACTGAATAGAGATAATAAATTGATAATAATGTAATCTAATAAAAATTATTTTGATTTATAATTTAGTTATGTACAATTTGTTCGTAAAAATGTTTAATTCCGAAATATAAGTTAAAAACATCTATAAATACTATCTTCTATATGTTAAAATAGGGCCAAGTACACCTAGCGCTATTAGTTGCGCATGGTCGCCACCACGACATAGCCAGTACACGGGTAGCATAGGCGTGAGCTCCAACCTGTGTAGATAACCGTGGTTAGTACCTAACTATATTCTATTCATGAGCTGTTTAAAATGTAATTTTATATAAATTATTACAGACCAATAGGATTACAACTTTTTTTTTTTTAAGTTTGTATAGGATAATTAATAAAGTAAACTAGTGTTAAGGTTTCGGAGGTTATCTTTTTTTAGGTATGTAAGTATGTTTTATTATATTTTAAGTTGACGGAAATTTAAAATAGTTTTTGTCCTAATATACTTTTAACAAATTGTCTACAAATATGTTTTAATATAACACTAACAACAATAATTTATATTTAATTTTTTATTTAGGAAAATAAAAGAATATTTTAAAACAAAATATTACAGGTGCAGCTTTTATAGTTTTTACTTTTTAGTCGTCACTCGTCAGTACCTTTCAATATGTTTTATATATCTGCTGATATACATTAATAAATTACCATATTAACTATTACGTAAAATCTACCTATTTAACGTGCTGCAAATGTCTGCAATTACCTGCAATAACCTGCTTCTACAGGACAAAGTATAGCAGCGACATGCACTCGCATGTCAAATCGACGACTGTGTCGAAGTTGTTTTGGTATTGAACGGCATAAGTTCATAATCACAACGTACTGCGTTGTACACATTTCATATTTTCATTTATAAATGGTTTTAAAGGAATTGGATACCGATGCAAAATTATAGTGATGGAGACCAAAAAGCGAGACAACAGTGTGGGACTTTGGGTGGTCGGATTTTATTTCTGAAAACTGCTCTGAAATCGTCTTTTATTCTACTAGTGATCGATCGAGGCATTTTTTTTTTTTAAGTCATTAAAGGTCGGGATATTTAACATTGAAATCTTTCTTTTTTAAACATTTCTAATAATAATAATTTTGATACTAGAAACAAATCCCTCGATCGATCACTTGTAGACAAATCAAGTAAATATTATCTTTTTTCAGAATTAAAATCCGTCCGTTCAATGCCGTGCAATTTTGTCTAGCTTAAGGTACGATTCCTATGACGCGTGTCGGTGCGATTCCTATGACATTTTTTTTATAAGCATTTAAACTTTAAAGTTCAAATTTTGACAAAATTTATTAAAATCTCGAAAATTATAAATCATTGTAATTAAAAAATTATAAAATGTTCGGTTTTTTTGACTAAGGATTGAAAATTAAAAAAAAATTTAAAACAAAGATTCATATAGGTATAGGTAATTATAATTTATTTTTAATCAATTACAGATATTTTATAAACATTATGGCAAATGATATAGAAACTATAATTGTATGTAATTAGGCTCATGGGGATTGACTTCGTTTTCATTTCCATAATCATTATTAACGTCCACACTTTCCAATGACTGTGATGGGAAACTTGTACTTGGCGCCGGTGAATATTGTGGTAAATTAACGAATGTACTCGTATTGCGTGTTTCTAATTCGAAGACCATTTGAAGCGACTTCATTTTTGCTTCATTTATCAATGCTGGACTTAGTTTTTTAACAGAGATCGCGATACTTTTAAAAAATAAATCGATCTCACACACATAAAAATCGTTAGTTGTTTTAACTCCAAATGTAGTTAATGTCCAATACATTTGAGCGTCGATTTTGACTTAGGACTCAATAAGTGTTGATTTAACTATTATTCAATGTAATTAAAATGACTTAGAATATATTGTTAGGATAATTACATTATTATGCTATATTAACATATCATAACGTAGTGAGATTAACTTTCGTAATGTTGTGAATTGAGTTTTTAAATTCGTTTCAAATTAAAAAAAAACGTTGTAGTTGAAATTACCCCAAGAAGTGGTTAAAATTGAGATTTTAAAATGGTTTTAAATTGAGATTTTGCAGTAGTTAAAATAACTCCAAGATAAGGAACAATGGTGTTAAAAATAATAATAAAAACAAAAATAAATGGCCTCCATGAGGGATTCGAACCCGAGACCTTTGTATTCTTTGGTTTACAAAACTAACGCCTAAACCTACCTACCTAACGGGACTACGTACAAACAGTGATAAAATATACCATTTAGGTAAAGAAATTTTGTAAGCTAATGTAGGCTTTAGTAGTTTACCCACTGTTTGCGGAGAAAAGTAAAACCATCATGCATTTAAATTTTTAAGTACCTACTAGCATACGGCCAGAGTTCAGGGGAGTACTATTATTATTAATATTTTTTTTATTGGAGGGGGGGGAATTAAATAATAATTATTTTTTCTTAACTATTTAAAACTAAAAGTTATAAATTTAGAACATCACTTCATAAGTAGGACCACAATTATAATTCTTTATATACTTGTAACAGGCCGGGCGTAATTAAGGGCGTAGTTATATATTATTTTATATACTTCACCAATGTACTTGACAATTTAATATTTTGTGTGTAAAAAATGTATACCCCCCCCCCACAGGGAAAATTCCTAATTATACCACTGCTTGTGAATACTTGTTTTAGGAGAAAATAAAGATGGATAAAAATTGGAGTATAGTTTTATTGAACTAGATTGATCAGTATACTTCACACTATTGTAGGTACCTATGCATAAAACATAATAATAATTTAATAATTATTTATATAAATTATTAGGTACCTATACCGTATACTCATATCTATACATTATATAAATGGAAAATCAATTGTATATTAATAAATAATTATTTTTATTTTTATAAACATCAAAACATAAATTAGATATAAATAAAATAATTATAATGAACTGTATATAATAATATAGGTAGGTACATAAAACTTAGGACATCACAATATGTTCACATTATAATGTTTTACATAGGTAGGTACTAGGTAGATATTATTTACATTTATTTACTAACAGTATTTGGTGAGCTACATAATATACCTAGTTATCTTAATAAAACATATGTTTTATTATTACCTATTGTTTTAGCACCAGTAGGAACTGGATAGTCAAGCTCATTGATATAATACCCTATTTTATCAATATTTGAATGGTCAAAATTTACTTCATGTGCATGAAAATGGCTGTCAAACCCTATCGATATTAATGGTTTGATTATAAAATATGGCACTCTAGACTTACCAACAAGTATTTTATCTATATTTCTCGCATGCGGACGATTTTCGGGTTTTTTCGGCGTTGTAAAAATAACATACTGAATGGTTAATTTTAACACTATTTTGGAGTAGAAACAACAACAAAATTAGTTCATAATGAATCGAGATTATGTTTTAAAACAACATTCTCTATTTTATCAATTTAACTACCGGTATTAGATTATATTGAATACCTACAACTTCCTAAATTCAACTAATTTTGGGTGTTATTATGACTTATTATCATTTCTCAATGATATGCGTTGAGCCAACATATTATTGTGGTTAATATAAATGACTATGCAGTTGATTCAACTTATGGGTGTTGAACATTGTAGTTTGAAGTTAAATCACCTACATTATTTTTATGTGTGCATCTTCACGATTTTGAGCTATATTCTTCATGATCTCATTTCTCTCAATACGCCTATCTTCTAGAAGCTGGATAACTTTTTCATTATATTTTTGGCGCTTGCTTTTTTGTGATTTTTGCAACTTCGAATTTTGTAGAGTTGGGTCTTCATTTGAATTTTCACCGATTGAACAAATCGATTGGTTATTAATTTCCTCTGGTACCTGCAAGTCGTTGTTTATTTCTGTACTCGAATCATCATCTCCACCTTCCTCGCCACACTCAATATTTGATATGCTACTATAAATTAAATGTATATGGTTAAATTAAATTCATAAACAAAACATTTAAAAATAAATAATCACTCTCGCTTGTAATCAGCTTTTCCAAGAAACGTCAGCATATCAGCTAATGGCCAATTCTTAGGTTTACTTAAAGCAGATGATCCAGTTCCCATTCCTTTCTTAACCCTTTTATGGTACGTGTCCTTGATGTTCCTCCACCTTTTTTTACAATCCTCTACTGCAAATAAAAGTAACAAAATAAGTACTAAAAGCTGATAAAACAACAAAAAATACAGAAACAAACTTAATTCGTAAATTTAATGACAAACTCTTTTTGGCGTAACTTGTTGCAGTAAGTGGGCGGTGATGAATCAGCCAGGACAAATTTTTTTTATATATAGATAGACCGATATATATACGATAAACCTACCTATATTATTTAATTGTTATTAATTATTATTATTTATATAAATAATCATCATATCGTTTGAAAGGTAGACGGAAAAAAAAACCAAGGAAAAAAACCATGAAAATAAAAACCAAATTTTTATATTTTGCTATATTATGTCATATTTTATTAGAAATAAGTTTTAATTTTCTAATTAAAAATTTCGATCAATAATCCAACTACAAAGGTGTCAGAGGCGGCTTGTAAGCACCTTTTACCGGGGCATTATTTTAAATGATTAAAATACGATTAAGCTTAATCAGCTGATAACAGATATTTAAACGGCCAAAACTGTGATTAACTTTAATCAGAGACGGTGCAACTGGCCCTTATAATAATAGGCAAATATAAATAATATTATATATAATACTATTAAATTACTATTAAATTTATAATACTACTAATACTTATATAATAATCTAATATGTTATATTTATACCTTTTTGATTGGGTCAACTATTGAGTCAATATTGAAGTTTAAATAAATTGTTAGTACACAACTACACAAGAATGATATTTTAAGCTCGTTCATACCAAACATTGTATAAATAATTATATTAAACAGGAAATTATTATCAATAATAACAATAAGTAAAATAATTTTGTATTTTTAGGTTTATGTCAACTGGCGAATCGTACCACTCACTGCAATTTGCATTCAGAATATCGGCTAGTTACATTAGCAAAATTGTAAAAATTACACTTAGAGTTTTGAAAGAAAAATTAAGTCCTATATTTTTACCGTCGATCAAAAGTGATGAGCTGAAAGGAAAAGCTGAAGAATTTGGACAAAAATGTCATTTTCCTAATTGTGTAGGGGCAGTTGACGGTAAACACGTTCGCGTGTTTTGTCCTAAACGATCAGGGTCACTGTACTACAACTACAAAAATTTTTTTTCCATTGTCTTACTAGCTGTTGTTGATGCAAATTATAAATTTATTTTTACGGATGTCGGATCATATGGTAAGGAGGGTGATAGTGGTATATTCGACAAAAGTAATTTAGGAAAGCTGTATAGAAATGGGAATTTATTTCCTCCACCCTGTAAGCTACCAAACTCGAGTATTGTATTGCCACACGTTTTTGTAGGTGACGAGGCGTTTCGCTTACATACAAATATGATGAAACCTTATTCTCGTCCTGTTGCAAGTGTGGATAATCGAAAGGCGATTTTCAATTATCGACTCTCTAGAGCTCGAAGAGTTTCGGAAAATGCTTTTGGTCTACTAAGCCAAGTTTTTCGTATATTTTATACACCAATTGCCTTAAAGCCCGAGACCACCGACAATTTGATTGTTGTGGCATGCTGCCTACACAATTTACTAAGAGACGCTTATCTAGAGAAACAAGGCAATCCGTTCTATGAACTAGACCCAAATGAGCAACCTCCAACAAAAAGTTTTTTACCACTTTCTAGAACTGGTGGATTTTCAAATTCCGATGGGTTTGCTGTACGAGATTTATTTATGGAATATTTTAATAGTAATGCAGGAACAATTGCCTGGCAAGATAGTCATACTACAAGAACTAATTAATATACAGATATAATTATAATATTTTGTAATACTAAATAATTATAATAAATTACAATATTCTTACCAGATCTTTTTACTTGTTCAGCTACCTCTTTCCAAGCATTATCCTTGATAGTCTGATTTTTGTAGAGTTTACAACCCAAATCGTACAAACAATTGAATTTAGCTACCATTTCCACAAGTTTTTCGTCCTCAATGACAGTGAAAAGTACTTTTGACATGACGAAAGTACTCGAAAAAAATATACGTAGTATAATATAAGAAAATTATACGAACGCGCGTGCGGCTGCGTCTATACTGCTCATCGACCGGACGGTCTGTGCGGCTGACGCAACTTGCGGCCGCCGCAAAGCTGTTGACGCATTTTAGGAAACGCAACCATTGGATAACCTTGGAAGTAGTACCCTGCGTCAGACGCAGTGCGTTAGCCGCACGCGTCTGACGCGTCATAGGAATCGTACCTTTATAAGCATTTTAGACATTAACGATACCGTCAATATCTAAAAGACCTCGTCTGCCAACGCCTATTGACGTTGCGGACAATATTAGAACTATTATTTACTCCCACCTAATACCAAAGCGGCAAAGCTATTATTTATAAACGCATCACGATAAACGACCGCACCGGCGACCCGCACCCAAACACGGATAACGATAATATTTGATTTTTATACACTATAAATATAGAAATTAATTAGGTACGAATATAATTGTTATAATATTATTTACATGTGTTATCGACTATCGTCTATCGGCCTACCGCTATGCAGCTACTTATTATTATATTAATTTGTACTAATCAGTAATCAACCAACGAGTCTGGCGTCTGTCGTCTGTGTGTTGATATTTTTTCAACAATTTAAATCTATACTTCTTACAAACTGTATATTATAATGGACGAGATTACGAATTGGCGCAAAGGTAAAAAAATCTTACACTCTCCTGTCGAAACGTAAAAAACACAAAGGAAATATTGCAGCTTTGAATGCTTTAAGAAAGGAATAATACACATTAATAAATTATTGTGTTTAATTTGAATTCAATGATAAATCATTCTACCTATATGCATAGGTGCAATTAGGGTTTAATTTTTAAAATAAATTACTTATTTTTAATTTGTATCTGTACGTTTTATGTGGAGGTTCGATAAATATTCGAGGTGGCTAGATAAATCTTTGGGGGAGCTAAGCCCCTCTAGCCACCACCTAATTGCGGCTATGCCTATATGATAAATATCGATTGTGAGCGGAGACAGTCTGTCAGTCTAGATTTTTCAGTAATAATAGCTTTATATTAATCTAAATATTGGTGAAATAGTATAGTGTTTAAACTTTAAAGTTCAGTAGAACACTAGAACCTACTATAGTACTAACTTACTGATTATCGGAACTAATTGGGACTGCACCTAGTTCGGGAACGCGAAAAATCGGTTATTGGAATAATTGTAGAAATAAAAATGAAACAACCTTCATTGTAAAATCTACAATAAATTCATCACTCCGCTCAGAATCTAAAATTCTTTTATCATCTATCAGAAAAAAATTTGAATTACATACATTGTGCATTTCCACTTAGGATAATGCTTTTGTTGATCGTATGAATGAACTTGAAACAGTTGAAACTGGAGCAGCGTAAGTACTTATTTTATGTTTAAAACTATCATTTTAATGTTAAAAAAAAATCAATTTGAGTCATGTTCAACCTATATCTACCTAGAAATAATTATGAATTATAATATCTATGAATTCGAGTTTCAGATACGAGCTTATTTGTTAGAATTATTTATTTAAAAATTATTTCAATCCTTATTCATATAATTTACCTAAAATAATATTCTCTGAATTACAATCCTGCGAAAACACCTAATTAGGTATGATATTGGTTTTATATAGTAGACTTACTAATTACTTATATATCACAGTAGCAGTTTTGAACTGGGGCGTCGGTATTATACTTATAAATTATAATTAGGGCTGGGATTTGAATACACTTTATATAATACACCTACCTACATACCTGCCTAATCGTAATTCGTTTTATATTATTGAATTATTTATTTAAATAATTTATGAAAATAATTTTTATTCAAAATAAAAGTAGTCCAAGTCTATGAGATGTAAACTTTTTTATATAACTATATATTAAAATACTAATGCTATTACTAAAAGTTTTAGTTTTGGTCTTAAACAATAAAACTTTACGTGTAAAATACTATTCAAACACTTTTTAAACACTTGTAAAATAATTTTTTAATTTTTAAGCTCAGTTAAATAAATATTTTAGCCATTTTTTTTTTTTTATAGAACATTTTTTGATATTTTTTAGGGCATTTAAATATCAGTTTTAATTATAATATATTATAAAATCAAAGCTTTTTTTTATTTGATACAGCTTATTGTATAAGAATGAAGTAAACGTTCGTGGGAGAGTTATTTATTCATTAACTACAGATGACATTGAATTAGCGGTACCTCTCAATACCACAGTAAATACTATAGACAACTCAAGTTCAGAATTACAATTTCCAAGTTCCAAGTACTTCGTCGCCTAATCATATAGGCATTTCTTCAACGAGTCTTTCCTCAGCTATGCAACTATCACCTATTGAAAACCTATCACATGATACAAATTATACAGACAATGAATATCATAATCTATATACTTCAAATTCGCCTTTAAAAAATAATGTGCAATCAGTTGAAATATCAGGTAGACGAATAGTAAATATGTTTCATTTGTTTGAAAAAAAAAAAAAAACTGATGATCTTTCGCAACCTTTTGATTGTGGGTTTAAAAATATGTATGTTATCGGAGAAAAAAAATTGGGTTTTAAATCGATTTTCACTTTTCAATGTGCAATGTGCAACATTAAAAAAACTGTGTCTACAGAAAATGACTTTTTCATGCCAATTAATACGTCTGCAGTTCTTGGAGTGATAAGCATAGGTGGAGGTTTTAGACAGCTCGAAGAATTCACATGCGCTATGGAAATACCAACAATCAATGTATTTTTCATACATCAATATAATATAACGGAACTTTTATACTTTACCGGACACCCTTTTTTTTGCGATTTTTTTTGGGGGACTTTGTCATATTTTTGACGAAAAAAATTATGGTGAAATCAGATTTTGGGGCTCGGACTTAGTTTCAAAGTTATCGGCGAATGAAGTTGGCTATTCTAAGTTCACTGTGCCTATCATGAAGATTGATGTTTTTGTTTTTGAAACTTGTGCTTTTATGGAGATTACGGTGCGAGGTTATCCACTTTATCAGGTAATTAAAAACGAAAATATCCCTCGATCTGCTATCCAAATCCACCTAAGTTAAATTAAAAATGTATATTTGTTGCGAAAATGTTATATTTAATGACGGCCGCGGCGGTGACGACGACGACGACGACGGCAACGACGACGACGACAAGTGAAGTCCAAAAATGTTTATTCTTATATAATGTATAAGAATTGTAGTTGATAGTGAATAAAAATTAAAATAGTTGAAAAAATTTGTTGTGCATAGGAAGTGCACAATCTGTTTTCATATAATCTGTGGCGTTACTGCGCATGCGCTGAGACTTGTGATTATTCGCGTGTATGGGCAGTGATGCCTTGCTAGCGGCACTCGTCGCTACGCTCCTCGGCGCCGTCGCTCCGCTCCGCAAATCGAAAATATCCCTCGACTAAGTGTTGCCAGGTTTGGGGAAATTTCCTCAATCTGGGGATTTTCTATGTGACTGAGGAAAAAGTTGGGGAAAATAAAAATCTGGGGAAATTTGAGGAAAATTGAACAAACATTATTTATTTATTATAATTTTCAAAGTAATAAGTTTAATCATAAAAAAAATCATTTAAAACAACAACATTTTCCTAAATAATCTGATTATCTGATTTTAACTAGCCTATAATATTATATTTACATATATTTTAATCTAATGATAAGATAAGCTGCTACTATCTCCGATGCTGCTATGGCTTTGTGCCTTTGTCAACATTATCATTATCGACATTATCCAAGGAACGCCGAACACGAACGGTATATTATATTGTATAACCGTACACCGGTTACCGATAATTAAGTAAGTATTTACTATTTAGTATACTATTTTGTTTAATTAGGTATCTTTATTTTCGGCTCTGTGTTATTAACCTGTATATATGTATTATTTAGAAGTAAATTGTAATTATGGACTCAGAAAGTAGTGATGACAGTGATACACCAAGCAAACGATCAAAATTTGGCCAGAAAAAATCATATGCCCACACATTTTGCAATGATTGGTTAAATAAAAAACAATTTCGCACTTGGCTTACACCAAGCAAACATGGTGAACATTTTTACCATTGTAAATTATGTGGAGACGACAATAAAGGAGGTATTTCAGCTGTGAAAAAACACATGTCTTCCCAAAAGCATCAGCGTGTGGCCAAAGCTGCTCAAAACGTTCGGCCAATTAATGAAATGAATTCAGCATTTGCAAAAGCAGCCGTTATTGAAGAAAAGGTTAAAGTAGCTGAATTAAAGATATGTATGTTCATATCTGAACATAACATATCCTTCAACACCACTGATCACTTAGTTCAACTAATCAAATCTATAGGCACCGATCCTGAAGTAGTGAAAAAAATAACTTGTAATCGAACTAAAGCCACAGCCATAGTTAACAATGTTTTAGGGTCATCAGGGTTTGACACTATCATTGAAAGGATGAAGAATAATCATTTTTCATTGATTATAGACGAGTCCACTGACCATTCAAGTGTTAAGCATTTAGCCATGGTCGTGCGTATGTTGGATTATTCCAATAGTTACATGGTCAGAGATGAGTTTTTAAGCCTTCTTCAAATATCTGATGCAAGTGCACTTGGAGTACACAAATTAATTAAGAATTTTTTTGAAGAAAACTCAGTGCCATACAAAAACAATTTGATTGGATTTGCTGCAGATGGTGCTAGTGCTATGTTTGGGATACATCATTCAGTCAAAACTTTATTAGAAAGTGAAATTCCAAATTTATACAGTATGAAATGTATCTGCCACTCCATTGCATTGGTTGCATCCTACGCTACAAAAAAAATCCCGGATGATATTGAAATATTGGTAAGAGAAATTTATACATATTTTCAATATAGTTTTAAAAGACAGACCATATTCAAAGAGTTTCAATCTTTTACCGATGCTAAGCCACATAAATTATTAAAACCATGCCAAACTAGATGGTTAT